GAAGTTCCAAAAGTAATCTATCATGATATCTGCTGGGAGTTTTGTCCTGACGTACTCTAGGTTATTCTTAATGCACAATCATTTTCCTCGTGTGTATGTTGCTTCAGTTATAGCTGTTGCAGTCCAAATGGTTTACAAAACTGACTACACATACTTTTGTTTTTCTTAAGGACTTTCATAAACTTAATTTCTTTGCAATGGAATTCCATTAGACAATTTACTGGAACTCTGGACCTGTATGCATCTTGAATTTATTCTTAAAATGTTAAACTCTGGGGAAAAAACTGCTTTTACGGAATTGGTTATTTAAACAAATTCAATATATTTATCTTTTGCTCATCTTTCGGAGATATCATTAGTATCTGTATCAATGCATGGTCCTGAAATACCATTTATGAGATGTAGGAAATGTTAGTGGGACAATAAGAGAACTTACAGTTTCTGGAATTGTAGGACTTCTATTTCAAGAAAAGGGAACGAGATGAATTCTAGGAAACTTAGATGAAAATATTAGAATTTTCATAAAATTGAGGTCCCTTCAAATGCAAAAGTAAGAAATGTATAATTTCAAATTTAAAATTTTATGAGAAATTGTAGGACAATGATCGATACTAGAAGCCACTCATTAGAGCTTCTATTCCCTGCTTCCCACCCAAATAAATAGGACAAATGTGACAAGTCAGAATTTGGCTCCCTACATGACAGGTAATTTTGGCTATAACATCCTTTTGACATGTTGTTCTGGTTTAAGGTTTTCACCAATTTCTTCTTGCTTTTATTAGGTCATATCCTTTAATTGTTACTGTTACTAAACGTAAAGTTGGTTTTCCACTGTTAAATTTTGAGTTAATTAAATGTGTATGGGTCATGTAATTTATCTGCACTGTTACAAGGGTTACTCAAAATTTGGAATTAGTTAAATGCATCTGGGTCATGTCAGGTAGTTCTATTATATTGAGTCTGCACCGTATTTGATTAAGTGATGAAACCCAACTTATCTTTGATAGCGGTGTATCCAATTTAAAACTTTCGTTCGACCAGCCCACTTACCCTCATTTGCAGCCCATCCCATCTGACCTGAACTTAACCCATGTAATTGCCTTATGATCGAGTTATATTTCATCAGATATGAATTCGCCTCATTTCTTCCTTGCATCCCTTTCTACTCTCTTGGAACCTTGCAACATTTGAAATCGATGACTTGGCAACCTAAAGACCATGGCAATAAGTTCCATGGAAATAAGTTCAATTAGGGGTGCTAAATCGTATCCGTATCTGAGGAAACATCCATTATCGTATCCGTTAGGATACATATATGGTTACTCAAATCTGTAACAGACAAGATATGGTTATGGATATGGTTTTGTAGTGAAATATCCGGATCCGCATCCGAAATGTCCGAAAACATATTAGTCAATTGTTTTAATACTTAGATTATAGATTTGATGTTAATTTTGATGATCATTATGTTTTATCTTAGCTTTTCAGATATAATGCAAATATTAATGACTCTTTTATATCACATGAACTATAATTTTTTTCAATATTGTCTAGTTTTCTCATATCTGTTTTGTATCCGCTTATATTTCTGCATGTATATCCGTATCTGTATCCAATTTTAACGGATATGGATGTGAATTTTTCTTACCGAGATATATCCATATCCGTAACTTTATCCGAGATGGGTAAGTGGATATGGATATGGTAAGTATCATATATGACTCGTATCTGGACAGAATGCACCCCTAAGTTCAATGCTTATGACGAAACTGTTGCTGGCGGTAAATGTATGATGGTTCAGGTTCTCCTTCTCTCTCATATCTAATTGAATCTAGACACCCGTGTCTTGGAATGTTCTGAGCCATGTCCAGGTGACATTCCCCTTCTGCTCTGTTATCAATCTTGACAAAACTTCCTCGTGTCCTACACATCGTCAGGCACATCTTGGCACTATCCTTATCTGAGTGGAAGTAAGAACCCATTAACCATGTTGGTGCTTCACGGTGCATGTGAAAACATTAAATAAATTATAATATTTGTAACCAAACAACAATGTAATTGTCATCAAGTGATGAAATTTCATAAAAATTCATTCAAAACCTAAAAATTTGGAAAGGTTTACACGGAATCCAACAAAATGGTGAGAAAATGGAGGATGCTGATACGGTGATATATGACTTTGAAAGGTCAAATGTGATGTCAAAGTAGGAAATTTTTTGAATTTAGCTTCTCAATTGCAGTAGAGTGCATGCTTGAGATCCTTGCATTTTGTCTCAGTAAAACAAATTTATGGTTCCTTTTCAATGCTTGATTTGCTCATTCTTTGTAAAATATATCATTGTTCATTGTCTATTGACAACTCAATACATAGCAAAATCTCCTTTTTTTCTCAAGCATTCAAATCCTTACAATTGCAAATGTAGTCCCCCTAAAAAAAGCATTTATTTAGCCACTAGGCTTCAGTTTTGCTTAGCAACTCACTAGAAGTGCTATTAGAGAGAGAATTTGTGTGTGTGTTTTTTTAATCTTCAATTGGATCATCTTTGCTCCATTTCTTATGACCATATTTGCTAGAGTAAAGATGTATAAAAGACTAAAAGAGACTTGGTTCTTATATCAAGTGTGTTATTGTTGATATCTTGGCGGTCGAGAGATTGACATAATAGAAACCCCATAGGTAGGGAAGAGGTTTAGGCTGTGTGGAATTAGGCAACCTGCTGATCCATTGTGTCTTGTGCCCTGGTTGTGTTTGTTCTCATAATCTAAATTGCTGCTAATGATTTATTCTAATTATTGAGCTATATTTTGCTATTTAGGTGCCATTATCGAATTTAAATCTCTTGTATGAAAAATCTTATTAATCTTGGGTGTTTCATACTTGCATCATTTCTAGAATTATATTCTTAATCTTTTTTAATATTGGGTTAATTTCATTTTTTTTCTATCTTGACTTGCGAGATTATGATACTTTTGATTCATTGTTCTATGATTCCTGAAAGTAAAGAGTGGGTATGACTACTGAGAAAAGACTAGTTACCGAGTCCACCCTGTTTATTGTATTGGTGTGCATAGACCTTCCACTTTTATCACGTGACAAGACTGTGTTGTTGTGACAAATGAGCTATCCAATATGCCTTCAGCCATATAGAAAAGTTTTGGAAGTGCGAGTTCCAGAATTGTCCAACTAGGTTCTAATGTTTGGAGTTTGGAAAAAAAAAATCAGAAATCAAGAAATTAGTTGGGAATAGTTTCAGTGTGCTGGTAAGTGCAGAGCAGATGTATTTTCTCTCCATATAGAAACGGTAAACCACAAGGTTAATAGAAAAAAGAAGTGGTTGATGGTTGATGGTTGATGGTTGATAGTGATAGACTAGTATCTGTGGCTGGTATTTGAATATCTGAGAACTGAGTTTCTGCATTTTACAATTAATTCACATATAATAGTAATTAATTCAGCAAAATTTTGTTTGATCATAAAAGTAATAGCACATTGATTAATTTCTTACCAAATTCATGAATTGCATGTGACTTCTTTGTATTTGACGAATACATTTGTCTACTGGAAAATGGTCTGCTGAGCTATTCTCCGTCAGTTATCTTCCTGAAGACGTGTTTTCAAACCTGTAAGAGTACTTAACCTGGTATGAAATATTTAATTATTATGTGTGTGTGTGAATAATGGGTATGCTTAGTACCAAGCACCATATTTGGTGCTTGGTAGTGAGGTGGTCACTTTTCATCCCCTCATTCAATGGGCGTGGGGACCATTTTCAAGTGGTCACTTTTAAATGTGTGGATGAGGAGTCAACTACTCCTCACACACACACATATAGAGTTTTAGTTATTATGACTAATGACTCACGTTTCTTGTGGATCATGCAGTCTGTAGTTTAAAGTTGAGTGCACGAGACACCAATTACCGGCAAATTTTAGAGGCTCAGTCTTATGAAATTATTTACTGTAAATAGCAGGAATAGCTTTTGCTTTAAGTGTGTTGAGTTCCCGTTGATGATGATGTTGTAGTATATGGGAAATGTGATACAGGCACAAAGACAATAGTTTGATGTTTGGAGGTGAAATTGAGTTGATATTAAGTACATGTTTTTTTTCTTTTTAATTCTGATGCATATGTGTAGAGAAATAAAGGCAAATACCTTTTACTTTCAGTTCTTTTCGTGAGTGCATGCCTTTGCTATGAGAATTGCAGCTCAAATTTCACGTCGGTGATCTTCTGGTTATCAGAAGTAAATATTCCTTCAGGCTTCAGTTCAGGAAATTTCCATAGGTTTGGGAAGCGTTAATCAAGTTATCAGAAGAGAAGATTATTTCTTCTACCAATTATATGTTATCCTTCGTGCAATTTGTTGTTCCTGGCCCTGATTCATCCTGATTGCAACAAAGACGTAATACCTGCATAAGTTCCTTGGTACCCCCTAGCTTGCTGATTGCAGTATATGTTAAGATATCTGATAGATAAATTTCTGTATATTTTCTGATTGCAGGTTGAATTACTTATCTTCTGCATCAGTTACACCAGATGAAATGGTCAATAAAGATGCTGATCAGTGGGTGAAACTGCTGCGTTTTGGGGTCACAACCTTGAGTATGTTGCGTTACCTGAACATAATAAATATCTTCAGAAATTATTATTTTTTTCTTCTTTTATTATTCGCCCAACTTTGTCAGAGGCAGAGATCAATTCACAGGAATATGTTTCTAAAGTCTGTTGCTGGATTTGACGCCTAGAGCTCTACAGCAGTTATTAAGGTAGTTAGCATGCCCATATCTGTCCATGTGCAGTGTTCATGTGCTATTTCTCATACAACAAAAAACCCTCATAAAGTCTTGGTTTTTTTAGTGCGTTGGCCATAAACACACCCCCATAACCTTGCTCACATGAGTGCCCATAAACAATAATAATCCTGTAGCCTGTAGCAGTTCATTGTCCCTCAACTTAAATTGATGACGAGTTCTCTCATTTGCTTGATTTCTTGTGTGCTTCTTCACTGTCAAAATGTTCTTCCCATTTGCTTGCTAAGCATGTCCTTCATTCCTTTATTGAACCATGTGTTTTCTTCTTGGGATGGCAATAATATGGGCCTCACCGTTTTGCTTTCTTGCGTGTAAATCAAATAAATTAAGAATGGTTCACTATAAATGCTACACAGAGATAAAATTAGTGAAGCCTCTGCAGCAATTGTTGCAATAGGTTTAAGGTTCAAACAAACTCTGGTTGTAGGGGCCCAACTATTTTCTCAGAAAAGGTGTTTTTTTTAAAGAGAGAGAGAGGGAAAGCTTTGGCTTGTGATGTAAATTTAATACCCCCATAAAATTTGGTGGTGCCCAATATTGATCTCCATGCGCATCAATCTAGAACAATGAAGATTTGTTAGGTTCTGGATTTTGATCAAAGTGGGGTTTTCTAATTCTTGTTTATTTGGTGACAAGGGTCCATTTATGAGATTAATAATTTGAACTTTTAGTATAATATTTATGCAGTCTTTTAGCGCTGATTTACTCGTTGGATCTCACTTTGGGCCGTGATTAGGTTAATGAGGTCACATACCAAATCCCAAAGATTAGTTATCCTGAGTGGGACTACTGGATGCTGACATTGGAGCTAATTGCTCCATAACAGCCTGTGTTGTTGGTGTGAAAGGATTCTCTTCATTTATAGGGACCCAGACCCTCCTTTGTTCACTTTAAAACTAATCCTTCAGCAAATTAGGCTAAAACTTGTTAAGTAAAAGCTATACACGCCTTTCTGTGGATCTTTACCCTCTTTCTTGAATGATGATGAGCTATATAGTTCTTCTGGTTGCATCCCATCAAATAATAAAGCAAATATTAATTAAGCCCATTTTTAAGCCACCCATCCAAGGGCATTAATTAATGGTCAAGGGTTCGTAATTGACATTGACAAGGGAGGGGACTCATGGCTGAATTAGCCTAACAGCCTGTAAATTGGTGTGACATGAGTGCGGCTGTTGCCAAAATTTCTCTCCCCACTTGTCTCCTCCTATTTGAGTATTATTATTGATCATTGCAAAGTTTATTTGAGTTAGTTATTTGACCTACCATTCTCTAGAGAGAATCACACGGAATTTTTTTTTTTTTTCTCAATTTCCAGTTTATGTTTGCTTGTTCCAACCAACCTAAAAAAAAAAGAAAAAAAAACTCTATACAGACGTGAGAATCATCTGTCATTGAATGTACAGAACTCATCATGTGCTATCTATATGAGAAAATATATTATTCCTCTTCTTCGTAAAGTTTTGAACACTTCATATAATGATATCCTGGCTATTGCTTGAAGTAATGTAGGAGCAAATACTATAATCGGCGTAGTTTCGACGAAAATATTACGGTAACTGGGGGCATACTAACAAATTAACTACTTTGCGTGTAAACCGAGCGCATTTCGTTTGCAGCGAACCAAAATGATTGGAAGTATTTGTACATTAGAGATCACATGGTTCCACCTCATAAAGCAACTTTTAATTTCCAATTATAACAAGAGAAGCTTACTACTTAAATCATTGGAAATTTGCTCAAATCCAGGAGCTTAGCTCATGACTTAAACAAATCAATGATTAAAAAAAAAAAAGTTCGTGAGTCAATCTTCTCACACTTGCTTAGCTCAAAGACTGTTGACATTGACCGAAGGAGCAAAGTCCAAAATTAAATTAAAAAAAAAAACAGTTGCCATGGTATGATTCATTTTAGTCAAAGCCTAATCATAGACACTACTTTCATTCACATTGGAAGGCTGTCCGAGACACGTCATCCTTGTCCACAAAAAGACCTGCCACGGCCTCTGTTTGCTCTGTCCAATCCTAAAAACTATGTCCAAGTTGATCATTCTTTCATCTCATCATTTATTTGGACTTAACTTTGTTAGTTAGTCATAGATGCACACAGGAAAAGGTCAACTCCAACAGCAACAGCTTAGTCAGGAAAATGCAGAGTACTCCTCTTTGAGCGCATTTCCATTTGATCAGGATGCATGAGTTTTAACTGCGGTGCTATGCTTACTGATTGATAAAGTTTGCAGAAAAAATTGAAGTTGCATAATAATCGGCTTATTGGATTTGAACATTAGTCCCGTCGTAATATTTTTGGGTCTAAAAGATCTGATATTATGAAACAAACACTTAAAAGAAACGTATAACAATAAAGTCTTTTATCGCAATACGGGTTCTTCGAACCAAACAACTTCGAAACTTGATTATGTCAGTTTTTTCTACAAAGTTGTCATTAACACGAGTACAAATTCTACTTGAACAGGGAAACATATACCTGAGTTTTTCGCTCAAGATCATGTTAAAAACAAAGAGTGACTAGGAAGTTTGGTGGACATCAACTTAAGTTGATAGAGCAAAACTCGTTTCAACTTAAGTGGATAGAAAAAATTTGTCCACCAAACTTTTTAGACACTCATATTTTGTCTAGGGATTCTTGCATGATATGAAAACATTGTTTATATTAATAAATGAGTGGCTAGGAAGTTTGGTGGACATCAACTTAAGCACCAAGCACAAAAAATTATGCTTGGTAGTGAGGTGTCACATCCCCCTCCACTCATTCAAATGGTTGCATATCCTCATGCACTCGTCAACCCATGTGAATGTGGTCCCTCATTTGAATGAGTGGATGGGAATATGTCACTTCACTACTAAGCACAAAATTTGTGCTCTCTCTCTCTCTCTCTCTCTCTCTATATATATATATATATATATATATATATATATATATATATATATATATATATATATATATATATATATTATATATATATATAATATATATATATATATATTTTATATATTATTCACTAAGGTAACACCTTAGATTCCCACCTAAGGACGGGCCTAAAATCACATCATTCCTTTTTTTTTTTTGCCAATCCGCTCCGTTGAACTTGATCTACACATTCTTAAACCCAAACACATTCAATTTTTAGGGTGAACCCGTCGTGTTTTGATCCTTCGTTGAGCCGTGCAAAAAGTTCTATTCATTCGAAACCGTAAAATTATAGTGAGTGGATGAAGGGTCAAAACACGACGGGTTCATCCCAAAATTGGTGTGTTTTGGGTTTACGAACATGTAGATCAAGTTCAACGAAGCGGATCGCCAAAAAAATTAGGGAATGATGTGATTTTAGACCGCGTCCTTAGGTGGGAATCTAAGGTGTCACCTTAGGAAAACATTTCTCATATATATATATATATATATAATATATATATATATATATATATATAATAATATATAATATATATATATATATATATACATATACATATATATATAGTAAGACTCCTATCAACTTAAGTTGATGTCCATCAAACTTCCTAGCCACTCATTTATTAATATAAAAAATATTTTCATATCATGCAAAGATCCCTAGACAATATGAGTGGCTAAAAAGTTTGGTAGGTCAAATAACTAACTCAACTAATAGGGCAAAACTTTGTGGACATTGCAGGATATGAAAAGACGTGACATTACATGATATGAAAAGGTTTTTTATATTAATAAATGAGTGGTTAGGAAGTTTGGTGGATATCAACTTAAGTTGATAGGAGTCTTACTATATCATATATATATATATATATATATATATATATATATATATATATATATATATATATATATATATATATATATAGGGAGAGGTTCTAATAAAAACCTCCTTAGCCTAAAAACTAAAAACAATTGTGGGTCATTGGATTATTGAAGATCACATGGATGAGATTAGAGATTAAAGTCAACTAGATAAGGTTATTTTTGTAATTTTGACAGCCACTAAAGAGAGTAAGAAATAAATGCAAGAGTAAAAAAATAAATGCATGTGCTGTAATTTTATTTCTAATAATTAAATAATAAATGTAAGTGTAGTTTTCCATTTCCCCATGTGATCTCACGGCTCAGGCAACCCCAAAAAAAATCTTGTTTCACTGGAGTGAATCGAGATTCACTGCAGTTGTTTTTCTTCATCTCGAGCGTTATCGTTTTTGGGAATTATTGCTAATTAACTACAGTGTGTTTCGTGAAATAGAGTGTTTGACTGGCTAATTACATTGTGTTTCCTTAATGAATCTTTCCTAAATTACCCCTTTTACATTAATTTTGACAGCTGATGTGTATTTAATATGTATTTATTTTC